CATTTTTTGTTGCTTATGAGGACCCGCATGCTTGAATTGACAAACACCAGTAAGTATCCGAGTCAAGAGGTTTGATTCTTTTGTAAGTTTTGCTAGGGTTTTCCTCTCACACTGAAAGTGTGGGCGATTGATTTAAAGTGTTTATTGCCACACCTATATGTCCTTCGCTTAGAACAGCACCCGAAAAAAAGAGAAACGGGCTGCTGTGCTGCTTGCTTTGCTGAGAAAAAGTTGGACGAAATGTTGGATAAGTGAGTTCGTCAAACTCGTGCTTTCTTTTCTCCGGAATAGAAGAGCCAGACTGGGGAGTTATTTCTCTCGAACTCATTCCAGTGAGAGTGTGACTCATATTCAACTGTTGTTTCTGTGAGACGGTAGAGTACCGAGTGATACTTTGAACGTTTTTGTGTCCTGACAGTTGCATAATAGCAGTTGGTGGTACGTCGTTGTTGCCAGATTTTACATTGAGTACTGTCCAAGTAACGGTGCATCGTTGGTTTCCATTTCCGCGGGTCGCTTTTCTGCGAAGACTTTGTAGGCTTTTACTGGACATTTCTGGTTGTTCGGCACAGAAAACATTTTCGGTGCAATGGCTCTTACATTCCGTGGATCGTTTCTTGAACGAGTTTTGGTTTGTCTTTCATTGAATTCGAGGTACTCCTGCCCTGTGGAAGTTTGAAAAAGTTTTACGTCTCCCCTTGAACACATTTGTCTATGCTTCCTGCAGCCTAGTAACTTAAAATGGATTATTTTGTTGAGCCATACCGTGTTTAAAAGCACTTCTGTCGTGGAACTTCCTAAGAGATCCTTTTCAAACAGAACTTGAATATCTTCCTCACTTAAAGCAGCAGAAGCATTAGGCTTGTTGCCCATACCTTTCCGTTTTAGATCCCTTTGCTTTGACTGAGGCGCTTTCTGAGTTTGCTCGAACTGGACGTTTTTCATAAGGCAAAGTCTATACTTTATTTTTCTTCGAATGGCGCTGAAAACTGGCGAAGAAAGTCCTTAGGGAATTAGGCTCGTATTCCTCGTTGTGTTCTTTTTTGCGAACCGTTATAAGGAACTCGTTGAGAAACTTGTTCAGCGCTTGAGGAGTCATTCGTCCATTCGTCTCGTCTTGCCTTTCAAAACAAGAAATTCATGGAACAGAGCAACGTCGTGTTTTTTGTTTGTTTTTTTTTTGGCGTTTTTCGTCATAAGGCAAAATCCGTAGTTTTTTTTTCTTCAAATGGCGCTAAAAGCTGGCGAAAAATGCCCTTAAGGAATTAGGCTCGTATTCCTAGTTGTCTTCTTTTCTGCGAACCGTTAGAAGGAACTAAACTTGTTCAGCGCTTGAGGGGTCATTCGTTCATTTGCCTCGTCTTGCCTTTCAAAACAAGAAATTCATGGAACAGAGCAACATATTGTTTAGTCTTTTTCTTAGTGTCCTCATTTTCTGTCCGTCTATGAACTCTTCTACTGATAAATATAGGCTCTGAAAACGGTTAATCTGATTTTAAGCCATCTTTCATAAAAAAAAAAAAAGTGCACCTAAGCTCTTAGAAATGTGCAATTTGTCGGTGAAGAGGAGCGGCGAGAAAGCGACACGGTTTTTTTCACTAGCGAAAATAATGATAATCGTATGACCAATCAGCTGGCGTCTCTAGCGCGAAGAAACTATTTTTGTCTCGATGAATTTTGGCGCGTAAATCTCGGTATGTATATAATAATGAATAATACGCGGCTTCGCTCGGAAAGCTTCGTTTTGCGCCGGCCAACTAGCGGTTATTTATTTTAAAATTGCCGACTTGCATAGAGTGACAAACAGCCACCGAGTCGTTAGGGGGACATGGAGCCGGTAATCTGTTGCTAAAGGATTGATAGGGCTTATTAACTGCGTGAAGCGATAAGGATTTATATTTCACGCGCTAGGATTAACTTTTAAAACAGTAATTCATGTGTTCAAACTGAGCTCCTCTGGACCTTGTGAAACACTGAATTCCTCTTGAAAATCCTGAGGGAAAGTGATTTGTCGTGAGTGTTTCCTCTTTAGGAGATCTTCATTTTCGCTTATATTCTGTTAGTAACATACTTAACAAACACAAGTGACAAATTAAGCTGGGTTGTAAATGATAAGTTAGCGTGTTGAGGAAACAAAGGAACTTAGCGTGTTAAAAAAAAAAAAAATCTATTGAGTTCTAGATTCAAAGCTCTACCGCGCTGGCCAGATATGAAAAATGACCACCAACACGCTTTCCAGAATCAATTGTTTTTATGTACATATCTGCACGGTAAGC